TCCATACAAACCCACAGAAACCCTCACAGAGCAGATAGTGTCTGCCTTAGTAATGGACACTGCTTGGACTGAAAAACACTGGTTTTTTTTTTTTTTTTTTCCTTCTATACTAGGAGGGCAGTGTTAAGAACCCACAGTGGAAGCCTGGCATTCTACAACTGGGATTTGTTGGGCACCTATATGCAGCTGCCAACCAAGACCCGGCACTCAGGAACACTGAAGCAACTGCCTTGGTTGCCCTGTGTGTATCCAGAATCCTCCTGCCATTTGGTCATGTTAACTCACCAACAATACAAGGAAGGACATTAACATCCCAACTGGCAGGTGAAGAAATTAAGGCTCAAAGAGTGATTCACCGTCTCAATGCCACAGATGTCTGGGGTGGGACCACCATCCAGGTTTCTTGGTGACTAATACCTATGAGATCTTTGTCACAAACGATGTCTTCTAGACTTGACCCTTGACCTCAAAAGCTTGTGCTTAATCAAGGAGCCAAGGTATACAATGCTTGGAGGTGTGAAAACTACACAAAGATACACAAACAACAAACAGCATCGTTTAAAGTGTTAACGGCGCCTGAATATTAGGGACCCACTAATGTGGGGCTCACTAGAGGAGTGTAAAATGAACCAACCTCAAAATTGTTCAGAGATTTGATGAGGGAAACAGAGAGGATGTCCCATCCCCCACACTGTAACCCCAAGAACCCTTGAGTATAGTAAGCTCCCTGACAAAAGGAAATAAGAGTAGATGAATTAAACATGCTAATTTGAGGTGATATTATTCTAGATAATGGGGTGCTTAAGGACCATCAGATGGCTCAGTAGGTAAAGGCACTTGCCATCAAATCTGACAACCCCGAGTTCCACTGCTAGGGCCCACATGGTGGAAAGAGAGAACTAAATTCCAAAAGTTATTCTCTGACCTTCAACACAGTTACCCTTATGAGCAGAGACCCCAGAGCACTTGCTTCCTGTATCCCTGCCAGGGAGGGCACCCCAAGAAAATAACTGTCGGCCACCTGTAGTGGCACATGGAGGTGGAGGCAGGCAGGTGGGTCCCTGTGAGCTCTCAGCCAATTCTGGTCTATACAGCGTGTTCCAAGCCAGACAGGGCTATACTATCTCAAAACCAACAAACTGTCTATAAACCAAGAGGGCCCACCCAGAAGCCTATGACAGCAGCCTAATCAGGGACTTCAAGTTTACAGAACTCCAATAACCGTCTAGTGTTCATGCCACAGATATGTGGCATTACGTTGTAACAACCAGCACAGACCCTCAGAAGTGACCTGCAAGAAGACTCCATTGGCCTTTTGCTGGCTCTGTAGATACAAGGGGCCAAGAGTCAAGGAGCACAGGTGACCTCTAGAAGAAACAGCCCAGGGAAGGAACCTTGACCAAGGCATCAGCCAGAATGAAAGAAAAGTGGACCCAGGCTGCACTTCCCACTGCAAATCTGAAGGAAGAATATGCGTTCCACTGAACTGCTGGGCAGACAGAAACATGCCATGAAGCAAGAGGAAATGGGAGTCAAGAAAAGTTTACCCTGTCAAGTTGCAGCCTGAAGCAGTGTAGGGTTGGGAAGGTCACGCCCAGGTAAGTAAAGCAGGAGAGTGTGCAGAGACACACACAAAGTCACCACATACTCAAGAAGCAATGGGCGTAGCCAAGGCTCAGTAGACGCAATGAGGCTGGGAAAACGGTCAGATGGGGCCAGTCCATGACAAATTAGGACACACTTAGGAGGGTGAGACAGAAAAAGGCATAGGGCAAGGCAGATACAAATGCTCAGTTCTCACTGTTGTTCCAAACATAAGCAAAAGGACCACTCTTTCTGGACCAGCAACACTAACATCAATCACGGGGTGGAGCAGAAGTTGTCTGGGTGCCATGCACCGAGCCATTGTGGTAGCTAGCGCTTAGCCCCTCACCAACCAGCCTGACTTATTTCCAACTAGGTCTAAAGAATGAGCCACAAGGTAAGAGTCACAGAGGAACTCTACAGACTGATGTGACCAATGTCAACAACCAAAGGATAGTGTGGTCTCCTCGGTTGCCTTTCCAAGTAGATGACATCTGTTCTCAAATAAAGACTCACACCTTGGCATAATGGAGTTGGTGGGTACAGGATGACAAAAGCCGAAGGTCCCCCCTCCAAGGTCAGGTGCACGGCCAGTCCCCAAGAACTGTGTAACTTCCTAGCTCTGCCAGTTAAAAGCTTTTAGACCATAAACAAAGCCCTTGGGGCCTCGGGGAGAAGCACCATTTTGGTCAGATGGAGTTGTGTATGGAGGGACACCGAAAAGTGGCACAATCAGGAAATGGTGATGTTATCAAAGAATGGGCATGTGGGCATGGGTGGCCTGAGCCCGGAAGATACGCAGGAACTGGTTCCTAGGTCACCCGCTAAGGATGGAGCTGCAGCTGCAGAAGTGCTTGAACATGGAAAAGATCAAGGGTTACATCCCCTTACAGTTCACATTTGCCCACTGAAACCATCGGGTGGTCCTGATGGAATTCTGTCTCCTTGCGCTCAGCCCCCAGTTTCTATCCCTCCTGCCAGCCTCCCTCAGCGTTCCCACCTCCGAATGGAGCTCACTTCCACAGATTTCCAATGTGAAGAAAGGGAATTCTGTTGGATGTTAAGCAGACACTGTGTTATGTTTGTGTCTTTATTGCTAAAATGCTTCCAGGAAGACAGGCAATGGGATGAGGTTTAGGGTCTGCACACAGCAATGTAAGTCAGAAAAGTAAATGAGACAGGTATGAGACGCACCATGGCTGGCCTCCAGACGGACATGCACCATCAGCCTCAGCCAGACAGATAATCTCCTTTTTATCTCTGATTAAAGTCTTTTCAACATGTGATGACAAAAAAAAAAAAATCATTGTTTTCAATCTGACCAAAATACAGTGTCCCTTTTATATAACGTGTCTAACAGTCTTCAGATTATAAACTCAAAAAAGCCCACGTGGGTCCAAATTTTAAAAACTAAACTCTCCGGAGATCCTTTGTGAAGTCTGGGATTTGTCAACAAAATTGGGCATCCAGTCCCAGTAGTGAGCTCTCAGCCTCCTGAGAAGCAACAGGATGCTAGACACTAAAGGTGGGCAGTGGCTTTGTAACTGAACAGCTACTGATGACAGCCCTGTGTCAGCACGAAAACAGCATATCAGAAAACCTTTCCAATCCCTGGGGAATAGCTCTGACCTGCAGGTCCCTCCTGTCATCTAGCAGGAGCAGTTTGTGGTCCAGATTAGCACAACACACAGTGTTCGAAAGACAACACTGCACCTGCCTTGCCTTCAGCAGCACAGGGCCCAAGCAGAGGACCACCTTGTAGTCCTTCACACAAATGTAAGAATCTGGCTGTCCTTTCTTACTGGACCAGAGTGAAGCCTAGGCTCTTGGTATGTACTGAGCCTCCCGACCCTAGTCCATCACATAGGTCTAACTTAGGCCATTTCTAATTTTGTGAGTGGTACCTTCTGCCAGTGACCAGGATGTAAGGAGGTCCAAGGGAAAAGCTGTTCTTAGGCCTGCCCACATGGCCCTCTGTGAGTGAGTGTACCTACTATGTGCTATCCTTCTGACACCAGAACCCAGCTTCTTGGGCCTCCTATCTCAGACTGAAGACCAAAAGCTCTTTTGGAATTCTCCAGGCTTTCAGCTCAAGATCCAGGCTGCTTAGGCATCCAGCCTCATAGACTGAGCATCTCCTGGTCCTCAGCCTCTCTGATGTGCTGACAGCTGTAAGCCACAGGCCATACTGCATAAGCCCTAACAAATCCCCTTTGTCATACATGCTCCTTCTATGCATTCGATTCTTCTACAGAGCTCTGTGCAATGCAAACACCTTCAGTGGAGACAGCCTTTCAGGCTCCCCACCATCACGGTTTGTTGCAGTTGGTGCTGAGGGTGAGCCGAGGGTAGCTCCCACAGTCATGCTCACACTATTCTGAGTGGGGTTATAAGCTTCTAGACTGTTCCATAGCCTGTTGACATCATCTTGTCCTCCTGTTCCAATCACTACCCTTGATTAAAAGGAGGCACCACTGGTAAAGGGGACACAGCACAGATACCTGGGGGCCTGAACACCCCTCTAGGCCCATATGCAGGCATCCAAACTCTAACTGAGCAGGGCTGCTCTCCCATAGGCTGGCTAGCATTTGCTCCAGGACTCACCAGCCCTCCTTTGGGCCTCTACTACCATCACTACTTCTGGTTTTTGAAAGCTGCCACCTTTTTTCCAAATGAAACTACACAGACATTTGGTGACTTTTCAAAAATATTTTCTTTCATTAATAGGATTTGTGCGAGACGGCCCTCCCACCATCTGCGCAGCCTGCTGTCTTTAAGCCAAAAGTTCAAGGGACAGTGTCTCATGTAGTCCAGGCTAGCCTCTAACCCACTGTGTAGCTGAGACCCTTGAACTTCCGAGCCTCCTGCTTCCACTTGCCTGCGTGTTATGATCACAGGCGTGCACCACTGCCCACCAAGAACCTAACCCGGGGCTTCACTTCATGTGCTAAGCAAATAGTCTAGCAACTGAGCTCGCCCTAGTGAATTCTGAAGTGAATTTTTTTTTTCTTCAGTGCATGTACAAGTCAATCAAATATTTCTTGGTAACTTGGTGGATTATGCTTGTGTGTTTACTCATTTTTCTTCCCAGACTAGGAAAGAACAGGAGAAGTGAAGTGCAGAGAACCCTGCTATGTTTCACAGAACAGGCCAAACAGAAGCAGGTGGAGCTTCTGTCACCCAGACTGATGGAGTGGGCACATACAGTGGCAGACAGAAAACAAGAGGACTGTCCGGGAACCAGACAACAGGCAATAAATCCTATTTCTGGAGTAGGTGTCCCAGCCTCTCTAATCTGTATGTTCAGCGGAGGAGATGACCAGAGAGGACTTTAAACGTGGTGTTTTCACTGAGAAACAATATCTTCTCCCCCACCTCCCCACCTCTAACCCCAGGAGGGAACAGTGAAGACTCACCCAGACCGGACACGTTGATTGCCTTCACAGATTTCTTCATTTTGTAGAGAACCATCCGGTCCACGTCCAAAGCCTAAAATACAGAGAATATGGGAATTAAAACATGTTTGCACACAGACCGTAACTATAGACAGCAGCAGTGAGTACCTTCTGGGAGTCCTACTACAAGGCCCCAGGGCTGCTTCTATTGCCTGAGTCTTTGCCTGGTGTGGAAAATTGTCTTTCAAAGTGTATCGAACAGCAGTTTTATTGGTTCACAGAAAACCACCTAAAGCATACAAGCTGCCTCTGCCCACACCACCTGCTGAACACAGCACTCTACAGGTGAATGAACCTGGACGCATGCCTCTACCACATCTGGACTGTCCCTAAGCTCTGTCTGCCCCTCTGCCCTTGAAGGGAAGGGCAGTCTCAAGGCTACCATGTGACCCTCCTCACAAGGAGCACCTGACAGCCAAGTCGCAGAGTCAGACTCGCCCCGTGCAGATGCAGTATAGTGCTTTGGATTTGTGAAGCTATTAGCTGTGTTTAGGAGGCTTTATTCCTAATCCCCGAAAGCCTCAGGTTTCTCTTCCAGAAGCCAGCTGTAACAGCTTAGCAAGCTGAATGATTAAACAAACACTCGGACGTTTAATATTCAGCGAACATTTACAGTGCAACCATCACATAGCAGAAATAACTGGCGTGCAAAACACCTGTACATAGTAGGTGTTCAATGATATGTACAGTGACTCGTCAAACCTGAGCATTTATTCACAGCTAAACTTCTACCAAAGAGACAGAGCGAACAATTTTCCCATAACTCAGTTACACGGCTCGGAAGATCAAAGGACGCCAGATGGTTGTGACAGGAGGGTGAGCACATCTGGGAACCACTGAGAGTGAGGCCAACTAAGGACGACTATTTAAAAAAACCGCAGTGACCTGTCATCTAAAAACATGGAAAAGCCAGGCCTGTTGAACCTGCTTCCAGCCTCAACCTTCATAAGTCCTTTTTCTGATGCCGCCTTGGCTGTTTTCTGGGGTGTCAGAAACAGATGAGATTGGAGTTGACAGCTTTAAACAGAACAATGATCAAAAGGCATCAGACAGAGTAGGGGAAAAAAGAAAGAAAAGAAAAGGTTCTTATCACTTCACTGTGTGTTTGTCTGAACCTTTCAGTATATCAAGATCAAACCCGGGGCTCTAGGCAAGCACTCACAGAGCTTGGGGGTGAGGGGGAGAGTCTTGCTATATTCTATAGCTCATTAAATTTCTTATAATGAGTTAGCTTTTTTGCATATAGGGAAAGGCTTTAAGTATGGTATAGGTACCCCATAGATCCTCCCATCCCCACCTCACTGCTGGTGTTTGCAGGCACCTGCTACCATGCCTGGCATTTTATGTGGGATCATGGTGTGTGTGTGTGTGTGTGTGTGTGTGTGTGTGTGTGTGTGTATGCACGCTGGAGAGAGAGAGAGTTTGGGGGCACACACCTGTGGAAATTAAGGACGCTTGATGTCTTCCATCACTTTCCACCTTATTCCCTTAGGACAGAACTGTTTTGGTCATCTGACCCCCAGGACCCATCTGTCCCCACCTTGCAGCACTGGGGTTATGGCTATGCCTGGCTTTTTTACAGTGTGGGCTCTGGGTCTTTGTTTGTTTGTCTGTTTGTTTGTTTGTTCTCAGGGCCTCATGCTTCTACAGCAAACTCTCTCACCTACTGAGCCATCTCCCTAACTCCCACATGAACTCTTAATGCTCCTGGGTGGTCAGCTCCAACCCACTCTTGACTTTGAGGTACAGACGGGGATTTAGAAACAGTAAGTAACCCACAAAAACCTGCACTGCTCTCCCTCCCTCACACCCCTGGCAGTCCTCCTCCCGCAGTCCTCCAGCCTCTATGCAGTAGTCCAGAAGACAAAGTCTGCTCAGGCTGTCTCAGCAGCGCCACGGCCCACATGACACACAGGCATGAATCAGGGTGCTGTCACAGCTGGGGGTTCCCACTCCAAGTCACAGGCCCTTGCTGCACAACACATCTGATGTAGTAAACACTCAGTCTAGGACTCCGGCTGAAGAGTCTATCTTGGCCAGTCCCTGCAATTGACCAGAACAGTATCTGACCTGCATTCAAATAAGAACTAGCCTCCCACAAGCTTCCTGGAAGACAGCAGAGAACCTCACAGACAGCAGCAGGGCTGAGTTTACTGAAAAGCTTCCTCGGGGGCAAGGTGTAAAATGAGAAAACCTCACATGAAAAAGAAACAACAAAAGTTCCAAGGCAGCCCCATATCACTGGGGGGGGGGGGAGGGCAATCCCAATATTGTAATCCCAACTTGAAAAAGCCAGAGAACCCTCCCTGTGCTCTGAGCTTTCCTTGCTCATCTATCAGGCCCCTGAGCTGCATTCTTCATTTCTGCTTATCCCCTGAGCTCTCAATGAACTTCTTGATGCTTGCCCAAGTCAATGTTTCCTTCTACTTCCCAAAACTATTAACTGCCTTCTCTCCCTGCAAAATCTTCCTGCCTTTTGACCCTTGACCCCCAGCATCACAGACTGGTCCTCCAGCAAAGCCACTTGCTGTCCCTCCACAGGATGGGTGAATCGCTCGTCTCAGGTTGGCCCACAGCCTGTGTGCTTGTTCACAATTTCAGTTGAGATTTACTGAGCACCCGGTACGTGCCAAACAAAAGCAGGGAGTGGAGATGCAGCAGTAAGCAAACCAAGACAACGAACAATCCAGCAAAAGATAAACATCTCCACAAACACAGACGCATATTGGTTGGTAGGAGCAGAAGGCCAGGACTCACTTTATACACTGACCTGCTTTGCCAACCTTGGACGCTACCCAACACCTGTGCTGTCTGCTATCTTGGCTGCTACTGAGCCCCCTGTAACACTTAAACACACTAAGTTCTGAGAAATACCAATACAACTACCTTCTTGCTTTTTACTTTCCCCAGTGCTGTTCTCCATGGTCAGGGGCTGGTGTGTGTGCAAACATTCACGACCTGTTATGCACCAGAGAGTCCCACAGGGCATGGGACTCTGTACCAAGCCACAGGGTTTCCCTGGCCAGAGAGTGCACTGGAGTGCCTCAAGGCCACTGGGGGCAGGCAGGAAAGGATTCCAGGAAAGGCCTCCCAGAGATGAAGGAATTGGTTGGAGCCGCACTTGTTTAGAAACCAGTCAGGCTCCATCTGGGCATTGGACTCCTGGGTAGCCAGGTAGAAACCTAGCCTGCTTCCCTCCAGCAGGGTTAAAGACTCTGCCTGCTGGTAAGCCCAAGTCACAGGGCACACCTGTGCCTGTGGGGTACAGCTCAGCTCTGCTCAGAAGTAAGGGCTGGAGGGGCTGGAGGTAGTCATCTACAGAGGTACCAGGGGCTAGCACTGTGCAACTGGCTGAACTTGGACAACACCCGACACAGTGAGTGACAACACCCCACACAGTGGGTGACAACACCTCACACAGCAGTGACAACACCCCACACAGTGAGTGACAACACCCCACACAGTGGGTGACAACACCCCACACAGTGAGTGACAGCACCCCCACACAGTGAGTGACAGCACCCCCACACAGTGAGTGACAGCACCCCACACAGTAGGTGACAGCACCCCACACAATAGGTGACAGCACTCCACACAGTAGGGACAACACCCCACACAGTGCTTTGCAAATTACAGCTCTTTCCTATCAAGGACAGCACAGAAGTCTTGTAAAGATACCCCTCCATCTGAGTTCCTCTGTCCCTATTGTTGAAGGGAAGCCAGTTTCCTGCCTCAGGAATGAGAAGATAAACTCTGACTGGTGCTTCCCCTACCCCCATCTGTCTATTCAGCAGAGAAACGAAGGTGAGCCTGGCACTGGTGGCAGAGGTAATTACAATTAAAACCCACATGAGGGAAAAGCAATTCCCTCCCCGTTCAAAAATTCACCCTCCATCACTGGGTATTTATAGATCATCAAGATTAAACCCGGTCAGGAGAAGTGAGAATGATTAAGACAAAAAAGTCTTGTATCCATAAAAAAGATTTGCCAAAACCTTAAAGCAAGAATAATAAAGCTTTTGCAGTCCAAAGGGACCTGCAACATGGCTGAGACTTCTAACTGTAAGTCACCTCCTACCCCTTCTTTCTTCCACAACTCCTTAAAATTGGAAGGAAAAAGGAGACAACCCTACACCAAAATGTGTGGACTAATTACAAACACACAGAACTGCAGAAGTCAATAAAGACCTAAAGAGGACTGGCCCAGGCTGTAGCTGATGTCTGGCCAAACCCCATAAACTCTGAAGGGCTGGACTCAAGTTGACCTCTAGTTTGTAAAACAAGCTTAACAGATTAAATTTATTGCATAAACAAGGCTGTAGGGATGTGTCTCAAATATTTCCAAGGAAAATAAGTAACTGTTGGAGTGGTAATCGGAGACGGTGAGCAGGGAAAGGGAGGGGAGACCACGAGGGTACGGGTCACGTCAAACCCACCACTAGAAAAACTCTCACATGCCCATTGGCCTAATTTTCACACCTGGCTGCCCCACACAGTAGCCATACATGCAGGGGATTCTATTACAATGAAAAACATTGACGGCTCACTTCTGCATGCCTTGCTGACTCCCATGAGAGCTATAGCCACGTAGGCATGTGTGTGATGGTTCCAGAATGTCATTAGGCTATTTCTTCTTTCTCTGCCACTGCAGGTCCCTCTGTGCATTTGGCGGCTGTCACAGAGCCAGTGAATCCACCCCAGGCAGCCTGGCCCTCCTGGTTCCATAGCTCAGTAGTGGCATCCCCCTGTTACACACTGCCTTCTCTGTGGTGTTGGATCAGTTCATCGCCTCGTTGGGTCCCACTGTCCTGGCAAGCAGGTACCTAAAGGCAGGCTCGGTCTGTCTAAGGAGCTGGTTTGGTTCAGGAGTGGGAAACCCACTCTACAAGCCAAAGATGCCCCACCTCTTGTTTGTTCACAACCTAACAGTTTTGACAGGTGGACCTGTCCGGCTGGATGTGGTAATTCGTGAAGGAAGGCTCCCTCTGACTCACCCTGCGAGGGGAAACATTACCTCAGTCCTCAAAACAGCCT